GACGCAGTTACAAATTGGGTAGAAGTGTGTATAGGAAAACCAAAAAAACGAGTTTTCTTGTAATTGTCTTTATGAAGCTAAAGTAGGAGTCCTGAGTCTTGTTAATAATGAAAAAACTGCGGCTTGCAGAAGAGAAATGTAGGTAAACTTTAAGTTAAGAAAAATTGGCCACTAGTATAAATTGACAGGTATTTAGGAATACCAGGGAATATAATGTTACTATCCAGTGAGAGCTCGAAGTGAGAAATGAAGTAGTGAGGATGTGGGAAATTAAAACAATGTGTGAAGAGAAAGTAACGCTTTACTCGGTATTGCTTTGTTTTCAGGAATTCGTAGGCCCTCTCTTGATGTGGTGGCTCCTATGTGGGGGAGACCTGCTGACCCATCCTGAAGTAGTCAGCTTTGGATCCAAAAGATATGACCTGCCGAACACAGCTTACATAACACACCATATATATTGGTTTGAGGATAAATTTCCCACAGGGTATGGATACTTCACAAGTAAACGGACCACGTCCTTAATAGGAGGAAGGAGTGTATGGAATTGTGCACACTCACACAAATAATGCACATTGTATGCACGCAACACACGCGCACAAACGAACACAAATTCACTCTTCGAGAATTCAAGATCAAAAAAAGCCAGTGATGATGGTGACACATCCAATTTACATGTCATTCATAATCACTTTTACCATTCGTCAGTATATGGGGAAAGCAGGAGACAACTTTTTTGGTTTTTAGCTTGGTGAAGTTGACTAAATGATGTTTTCACGCTCTAAGAGGCTTGTCTTGACAGAACATGCAAAAGCAGGACTGTAAGCCTAGAAATTCTACGCTAAAATAAACAGTCACAACGCCGAGACAACGTAAAGCTCCATCCTTGACACCTTAGAGTTTAAGTCAGGCAGGAAGGTACATTTTTCTATCTTCAACTTCTACATTCTTTCTTTGTAAAAAATGTTATTACCGACCCTTTATCAGGGTGAATACGGTACTTATTCCACATCTAATTACGCTGGATACATGTGATTTCACCAAAAAAACGGACTACACATTGCTTCATGCACAAATCGGTGCTGCCGGCCAATGGCAATGGCCTTCTTAACGCGAAACTTACATTTTCCGTTCCCAAAACTGGTACACCACCGGCATCAGCGATAGTCTGATCGGTCGTTTTCAGAGCTACTGACTCTGGGACGGTGGTACCGACAACGGCCGAACCGAAAGTGGCGGGTCTAGTCGAGACGGCGGATGTCGAAGTTGTCGTGGTGGTGTCGGTAGCAACTGCGATGGAGACCCCCTGTGGTGACTTCAGGCCACCAGATACGAAATGAAGGTCTGCGGGATGAACTCCCGGTGGCGGTTGATCAGCGATAGCCGCCTCCACAGAACGTTGAAAGTCACTGTTTTTCACCGGGTACAGGCGAAGATTTATTCGCATGTGGGTGTGTGCATGTCGTCAGGGCGATGTGTGGTGGTGGAAATACGCATGAAGACATAGTTGTGTGGTTGTTTTTAGGAAGAGACATTCATGCAGACACAAGTTAAGAAACTTTGGAAGTATCTTTGCGTTTGTGGTTGTGTGTGTGTATGTGTGGAGGGATGAGTGGCGATTAACAGAAGAAAGAAAACCATAGATGTTAAAATCACCATAGAATGTGGCGCTTCTATAACTCGTCCGGGGCTAACTATAAGCGCATGCAAGCTGACATTGTCTGAGGCTGTCCGTTTTCCAGATAGGACAATCATCCAATCCCCCTTAAGGTCACAAGAAATGGTACCTTTATTTAGAATGAAATTTATCTGAGACCCTAGCCTAGGCAGTGATTTGTCCGCGCCAAGGCACCACGGAAGGTTTTTAGGCGATAAAGTAAAGGAGAGGTTGCGTAAATAGATTTTCATTTCGTTTGAAGAGCTATGTGGAACGTAACATGAAGGAAGTTTGCCAAGAAGCTGAAAATGTCGAGTTTTCAGAGCAAAAGGAGGGTGCATCGAAGACCGATACCTGTCGATTACAACTCTAAGGCGAAGTGCCTCTTCGGATTTCATGCGAAATCGACCCACCCAAACTTTGATACGGAATGAGGGGTATAGTGAGATAAAACTATCAAGTGCTTTTTTGAAGACTAGACTTTCATCACCTTTCATAGTTTATACTTAGTCTGAGGATTTTCATTTTATATGAAAGTGTCTGAAGACGATATTCATAGTTTAATCCCTCAAGAAGGCGAATGTCGGCCCACGTTCCCCTACAGTCGTTTGATTTAACGAAAACATTCGAAATGACGCAATCTACGAGGCATCCTCCTTAGATTATGATGAAAACAGACTTAGATTCCGTCTGCTATATTATTTGATAGGCATTCTCAGAGCTAAATCTCAATCTAATAGAAACCTGAAGAATATATTAAGTTAAAAGACTAACCGACTACTTATTTCATCATGAGTACACTCATAAAAAGCAACGAAAAGAACTAAGTGAAGGGATTTGGCTAGTTCATTTTAATGTCGGGCTGAATAACCAGTCATAATAAATCTGAGTAATAAAATATAATATTGTGAATGTTAAACAAATAAATAAATAAATAGCTATATATATATATATATATATATATAAGGAGAGAGAGAGAAAGAAAGAAAAAAAGAAAGAATGAAAGAAAGAAAGTAAGAAAGTGAATAGTAAAAAATGAAAGGAATCTTTAGAGAAAGCCTTGAATCTATGTTAGAATGAGTTCTAGCTCTGCCTGTCAAGAGGCTTGGCATACAAGAGCCAAGCCTATTTTCACTAAAACTTAGGAAGGTCTCGTAGATTGGGTAAATAGGTAATTTATTGTAGAATCAAACCACTGCAGACCAAAAAGAAATGGCCATCGTCTTCAAACAAAATAAAAGTCATCTCAACAATGAGAGTCATCTAAGCCAAGTTACACTCGGTTCCTGTAGTCACCACGACCCTAAGATAGATTTATGCATCACTTTGACTGGTCAGAGAGCATTTAAAGTAAACATGAAGTAGACAACAAACTGGTAGGATAGAAGTGGTTCGACCTAGTCTTTGTCATTTACTTATGCTGCTGAGGTGACCTTGAAGAAAGTACCTTGTCAGGTGTCCTCTGTCGTAAAAATCATGACTTGGTGCATTCCTGGAATATACGTCATCATTAGGGTAACAAGTCCATCCTTTGACCCACTTTCGGCTTAATTGTGGTGCTCTCTCTCTCTCATCTAAACTATCCCATATCCTCGGATCCCTGGGCCTTCGTATCCTAATGGTCAATTTGTTTATTGGATAAGAGATGGGCCTGTCTCTTTCAAGAGTGATAAGGATCACTAATGATGCCGGTGAAACTTTTGGGAACGTACCAAGTCCATAGTCCGATGTCGGAAACTGTCATGACGACAGAGGATACCAGGTGAGGAACCTTCGTCTACACGGTCCTGAAAACACAGCCAGATCGCACAAACGATGCAAGACAAATTTTTACATGGATGAAGTAGTCAACCAAATTATGGAATGTCTTAGAAGAGTGATACCATGGGACATATTGGTAAGATGTAATTCTGTGTGATGTAAATTATATACAGTTTGTATGGTGGCGTGTGGTGAATGGTTTATTTTTAGAGGACAGATGATGGCTATGCACATGATTAATTTAAGTGGTAGATTCAACAAAGTCGGAAGCGTCGTAGGTAAATTCACTGAAAGCCCTTAAGAACCATTCGGAAGAAATAGCTCGTGACAACTCAATAGGGACAAACAATCGCACAAAGATTAAAAGCGTCCTCAAAATGTACCGGTAACTTACGTGAGTAGTGGCAATTTGTCCTGTCCGCTCGGACTCGAGGTGTCGATCCGTTCGTTAGCGCCAACAGGGCAGTACTGTTGGCTGCGGTCAAAACTGTCAAGAAATAGGCGGGAAATATTGAATGGATGGAAACAAAGAAAAGGGCGGTTTAAAAAAAACCACTTGAGGAGGATTATCGTTCCTTCTAGAAGGTGTTTTGAACTGGTTGGTTGATGGACCTCAATAAAATTGGAGAAAGATAGTCATCGCTCTAAGCAATTGCTCGTTGATACCTCCCTTCTTATACTTGGCTGAACCCTTCTGAAGTCTTGTTTATCA